TAAATGAAGATAAAATAGGATAAAAATAAAATTAAAATAAAATACCTTATAGAACAGAAAACTCAAATGTGACCCAATAGGACCAACTGAATTGACAAGTAATAAAAAACACTGAAAGATAAATTATAGAGCATATAAAAGTAAACTTATGACATAGCATATGAGATGGTTCACTTATAAAATAATGACCAATAGGTTAATTACTATTGACTGGTATAGAAATAAATGTCCCAAAATAATGTCCAGATTAAATATTCAATGAATGTTGCATAGATCACCTAGTCCCAACTTGTAATGACAATATGGGGTTAATGGTATCTATGTCATTAATCTACTTTCTTGTATAAAGATATCTGCAGTCCCAAAAATAAATATGGCAGTTTAGTACAAATAAAACTAAATGCTCTAAATTAATGCAATAAGGTAATGTTAGGTAATAGTTGTTGGGAAAATATTTGATTGAAGCTGGATTGATGAAAAATAAGCAGTTTTATTGATAAAAGAAAAGTTTTAGGGGGGGCGTGGCTTGATCGGGAAACAAGCTGGACGTGCAAGCCTAGAGCTCCTCGCTGAACCCCTGTTCCAAACGCTTATAAAAGCAAAAGACCAACGAAAAACCCACCCATCCCGACTCCTAACCCACCATGGACAAGCGCCTGCCGAGAAAACCGGCCAAAAAACAGGCAGACACGGCCGCCACGGTACCTGAACTATTCGCAGCCTCCCGCACGCCGCGCCTGGACACCCAAGATGGCGGTGGATCCAGCCCGCAAGCCCCTGGCTCACCAGCAAGCTCGAGCTCACCTCAGACCCACGGCTCAACCGCATCAGAAACAGCCCACATACTGACGGAGCTGGCAGCGGTAAAAAGCTACCTCGCCCGGGAGATTGACAGGAGCTCTAAGGCAGTGATGTCAGAAATCCACAAGCTGGGTGAGCGTACTGCCGACCTGGAGCAACGTGTGGAAACAACCACGGTGGCCCACAACACGGTGACCGCCCATGTGAACACACTCACCACCAGACTAGAAGCCTCAGAGGCAGCACTCGAGGACCTGGCGAATAGGTCGCGCCGCAACAATATCCGCGTGCGTGGCCTACCAGAGCAACAGGACGAAGGCCCAATCCCGACCATGCTCCTCGCAATCCTACGACCTCTCTTGCCAGAGATACCAGACGAGCACTGGCACATCGATAGGGCCCACAGGGCCCTGCGCGCCCGAAGAGACGACAACACAAGACCCAGGGACATAATAGTCCATTTTCTCCACTTCCAGACAAAGGAAGCGGTGCTAAGGAAAGCCAGAGAAAGCCCCATAAAATGCCAGGATGGAGAAATCTCCCTTTTCCAAGACTTGGCTCCCATCACCCTCCAACGCAGAAGAGAGTGGAAGTCAGTCACCGAGCTGCTCAGGACTAACGCAATCAGGCATCCCTTTAAATTATTGGTCTTTAAGCACGGCAGACCCTACATCCTCACGCCAGGCACGGACCCAGCACCCTTCTTTCGCGCTTAGGGCATCTCAATACCAGAGAGCTTCTCGCTGCCAAATACCGCTTTCCCGGCCCTACAACCCCTACCGCGCGACTGGTACACCGCCGCGGAGTAAATAGACGGCAGACGGACACCAACAACCAAGGCATAACCAACCTCCCAGGAACGAATACACCAGACCCCACCGCTCTAGACGCCAACTCACCACACAACCATACCATACAGAGACTAAGCTCCACGACAGGGAACACGCTCTACGCAGGGAAAGCGCACACCTAGACAGCATGAATTCACTAACCATAGATGGGGGGACGGGGAGGGGGAACGGAGAACGGCTGTTGGTCTGGGGGAACACGGTGGGACCGGGGCGAGATGCAGAACACTTGAATATCAGGGTACAGGGACAACTTAAGGAGGGTGATATAATTGAAACGGTTGAGGACGCAGCTATGTTGTGATGTTCCTGACTTGCATTGATATGTATTGTTATGTGATATTCTGTGCAGCCGCCCCTAGCCGGTCCTTCCCCCCCCTCTCCCCGTGCAATCGCCCGCTCAGTAGACTGACCGCCGACTCTAGCAGCCGGGCCCTCCCCTCCCCACCCTCCAATGACAGGGGACACAACTAACAAAAATAAGTATAAAAAAAAAAAAACCCTGGCACAACTGTGCTCACCAACGGGAGAACCATCGTAGACCAGAAGAGGCTACCCAACTGGGCTCGCCCACAAAAGCCTATGCTTCCCCCCCTTTACCCACCCCCCTACCCCTCACCCCCATTTCGTGGATAACACCGCCAAGCGGCAACTCTCAAGAGCTCCCCGCTTCACTAACGAACCATAGCAACATAATACCTAAGAACCAGAGGCAGGGAAGCCGAATTACCCACTGGATTATAAGATAGTACGCTGCACACTAAAGTCGCAACAGACAAACGATTCATGGTATCAGGGGGCCACACCGGCAGATAGGTTCATGACCCAACACTCCCAGACTGATGCAGTCATCGCGGAGACAAGGGTCCATGCACCCCCCCACGGTCTGGCACAGGATAAGACCAGACACGTACGGCAACACCGTACCACACCCTCTCCAAACCTCCTTCGACCCTTTCTCCTCCCCCCTCACCCTTCCCACCCATGCACCCCACCCACCTCATGCCCGCACCGGTCTTGGACGAAGTTAGAGGCGCAACGTATACATCCCCAATCTCACACCCAAACAGTGACTCAAAGGAACAGAGGTGGGAATCAACCCCACCCCCCGCTGCACACATACACCAGTCAAACCACAATGAATTACCAAAGCCACCCGAACATCCAGCGGGACAAAAAACGCTCACCGAAACTTCAAGATTATGGCTCTTAAGGTATCCTCGCTCAATGTTAAAGGCCTCAACGCCCCACGCAAGCGAAGAACACTGTTTAGGGAACTAAAAAGATTAAATCCTGACATAGCATTCATACAGGAGACACACCTGTCTCGGTCCGCCCAGGTCTCCCTCCGCGACAACACATACCGCTTGGCCGCAGAGGCACGAACCTTCCGTAAACATAACGGAGTGGCGATTCTTACACACAAACGATGCCCAATTCATATAACCCAAGTGACTCCAGACCCAGACGGTAGATACGTCCTAGCCACAGGCCGGATTCATTCACAACCCATGCACTTAATCAACATCTATGCCCCCAACACACCTGCACCCCAATTCTGGAACCAGATGTCAGATGTAGTCCTTTCACTCCCCACCGGGATAATCCTCCTGGGAGGAGATCTAAACGCAACTCCCGCTCCAGCAGTAGACAGAAGCTCACACCCAGGACTAATTAGATCACATGGCATGGGTGATAGAGAATAGTAAGTGGTACTGGTGTAGCGCTTATGTGCAAAATTGAATATGAAAGGAAGTTTTACCCAATTTTCTTCTATGTTAGTCAATTATTTCTTGTTAACCTTAAGGTAAAACAGAGAAAAAATACATAACATAGTGCAGATTGTATGTAAATATATAAAAATTGATTTAAAACAAAAGCCAAATGGCAACTCACAATTTTCTGAGCTATAAATCTAGCTCAGAATTTTGGTGCTTTAGGATCCGTATAGGCGACCCTCTCCCTTCTTCTCCTTTCTTTAGTCCAGTCCTATATGGATACAGGAGGGGGTATATAGTGTAGTATAGTTGATGTTATTATGCTGTTTCCACACAGGAAGAAAGGTATTTAAAGCAGGAAAAGAAGTCCAAGGATACATCACTGAATTTAACCAGCTGAAGAAGCCACCTGGCGAAACGCGTTCTGGAAAGAAAAGTGAGCACTGAAAACTCCTTTTTTTGGACTTTACTGGACTCTACTAAGCCTTATAAGTGTTTTATTTATTTTTTATATATATTTCTAATAGAATTTTTTATAATGTGTACAAATTTTTTATAATAAATATACATACATTTTGATACACTTATGGCTTTTTTCCTGCTAATATAAAGAAGGAGTGTGGTCCTAAAACCACATATGCGCACTGAAGTGAGCCTATAGACTGGCTCTGGGTTTGTGAGTACCTCATTTATTACTTTTACACACCCATAATAACATCAACTATACTACACTATATACCCCCTCCTGTATCCATATAGGACTGGACTAAAGAAAGGAGAAGAAGGGAGAGGGTCGCCTATACGGATCCTAAAGCATCAAAATTCTGAGCTAGATTTATAGCTCAGAAAATTGTGAGTTGCCATTTGGCTTTTGTTTTAAAACAATTTTTACATATTTATATACAATCTGCACTATGTTGTGTATTTTTTCTCTGTTTTACCTTAAGGTTAACAAGAAATAATTGACTAACATAGAAGAAAATTGGGTAAAACTTCGCTTCATATTCAATTTTGCACATAAGCGCTACACCGGTACCACTTACTATTCTCTATCACTCTGTAAAAGATTTTCACGGTGGTTAGCAGCTGTTTAGATTATATATAATTTTAAGATTTTATACTCAAATAGCGCTTATACTTCCTTGTTTTGCACATGGCATGGGTGCCCAAGACAAACAATTACACCACTTTATCCGTAAAACAGGCCTCATAGATGCATGGAGAGCTCAACACCCCTCTGACAAGGACTACACTTATTACTCGCCACCCCACGACACATACTCACGCATAGACATGTTCTTGACCAACCATGCAGGCTACACAAAAACACAAAAAACAGACATAGGTACCATCGCATGGTCGGACATCGCGATCTACCTTAAAGGCCTCCAATGCCCTACCCCATGGACGTGGAGGCTAAACACGTCCCTCCTTAAGGACCCCCAAGTCGTAGACGACATACAGAAACAGCTAACCACATACTTTACAGAAAACCTAACACCAGAAATCCCCATGACCAAGGTATGGGCGACCCACAAAGCAGTGATCCGAGGCTCCCTTATCAAAATAGCAACCTACAAAAAGAAACAAAAAACGCAGAAACTCACCCAACTATTAGAAACCCTCCGCACAGCGGAGCAACGTCACAAAACCGACCCGACCTCCCACACACTACAACTTCTCCAAAACACCCGCATCAATATCAGACAACTGCTCATAGACGACACAGCCCGAGCACTCACTTGGAGAAAAAGAACATACTACAACAAATCCAACAAAATGGACACACTATTAGCCCGCACGCTAAGACCCAGAACCCAACACCCACATATCACCAAGATAAGAGCCCCAGATGGCACACTGAAAACATCCCCGACTGAAATAGCACAAACTTTCTCAACCTTCTATACAACGCTATACAACCATTCCCCACAAGACGACACAACAATCACAGCGGCGAATCAGAAAATAACCGACTTCCTCACCCAACTAAACTTACCGAAACTACACACTGCAGCCATAACGGAACTAGCAGCACCGATCACTAAAGATGAAATCAACTTAGCCATCTTCTCTCTTAAAAGCAATAAAGCCCCCGGCCCAGACGGTTTTGAGGGCAGCTACTACAAAACCTTTAGAGAAACACTCATCCCACATTTAGAATCCTTATTCCAAGAACTAATGACAGGAACCCCACCAGACAGGGACATGACACGGGCAAACATTCTGCTACCAAAACCAGGCAAAACCACACCCAACCAGAAGCATACCGACCTATCTCACTCATAAACCGCGATAGCAAAATCTTTGCCAAAATCTTAGCAGGAAGACTAAACCCATACCTGACAAACCTAGTCCATGCCGACCAAGTAGGATTCATACCTGGACGACAATTATTCGAAAACACGAGACGTAACATAGACATATGGATGCTAGCAACCGCGAAAACGCCATCCTTAGCGCTTTCCCTCGACGCTGAGAAAGCATTTGACCGTGTAAAATGGCCCTACATGTTCACCCTTTTAGAACATCAGAACATACCCCCCCCCATATATAACAGCTATTCGCGCACTATACACATCCGTTTCAGCACAAATAAAGATAACCGGGATGACTTGCCCGTCATTTAATATAACCAACGGCACCCGACAGGGATGCGCCCTATCCCCTCTACTCTTTGTGCTGACACTCGAACCACTTCTCCAAGCTATAAGGGAACTCCCACAAATCAAAGGGGTCAAAATAGATGACCAAGAATTTCTAGTTTCAGGATACGCAGACGATGTCCTGCTGACCCTAACTGAACCCATTCCCACGCTACAGGCACTGCTCCCAATCATACGGTGAGATCTCAGGATACAAAGTTAATGTAGAAAAATCCAGCGCACTCCCAATAAACCTCACACAGACGGACATAAACAAAATCACCTCAGACCACCACATACGAGTCACACCAACATTCCTCACATATCTGGGTATCAAATTACCGGCAGACACCAATACACTCCACAGGCTGAACTACACACCCATGATAGACAAACTCATGTCAGACATGGAGACCTGGGCGGACAAACCCATATCCTGGATAGGGAGAATACATTCAATCAAGATGAATGTCCTGCCCCGAATCTTGTTCCTCTTTCAGGCTATACCCATCCCTATCACAAAACGCAATCTCATCCCCCTACAGCGGGCGATAGACAGATTTATATGGCAGGATAAGAGGAACAGAGTAGCCCGCAACATACTGTATCGCCCCAGAACGAGAGGAGGCCTGGGTCTACCCCACCTACATTTCTATTACATAGCCGCGCAGATGGCACAAATAGCCCTATGGCATACCCCCCCTGAAACTAGAAGGTGGGTAGATCTAGAATCAGCACTAATGAGATCCAATCTCCCACAATTCTACATCTGGACACCAAAGGAGCACAGAGCGCTCCCGAGAACGGCGTGCCCAGCCATCACCAACTCAATCCAATTATGGGACACTTATGCCCTCAAACACGACCTAACCACTACAACCTCCCCTCTCACCCCTATATACCGTAATAAGGCTTTCACACCAGGCATGAGACGCTGGGACTTTAAAGGTCTAGAGCACGCCGGCCTCCAGAGGGTGTGCCAACTATACATGGGCGACACGATAGTCTCCTTCCCAGACCTACAATCCAGAGCAACCCTGAAACCAGCCGACTTCTTTCGATATTTACAACTTAAACACTATGCGGCCCAAGCGACGGTGAAAACCGCTGCTAAAACCACTCCGACTTTCTTTGAGCGCATCTGCCTAGCGGAACAATACCAAAAAGGCATGATCACCCAACTATACTCCCACCTCTGTTCCACCACACAGGAATGGGGGGACCTGCAATACACAGACAAATGGGAAACAGACTTGGGGGAAACCCTAGAGGGAATAGACTGGCAGGATATACGGGAAGCCAATACCAGAACTTCCATCTGCGTCACGATGCAGGAACAGGCATATAAAAGGATGCTCCGATGGTACGTTACCCCGGTCCAACAATATCACATGAAAAAAACACCCACGGACCTCTGTTGGCGTAACTGCGGAGAAAAAGGGACCTATGCACACATGTGGTGGTACTGCCCCGCAATTAAACTTTTCTGGGAAAACATCCAAAAGCTAATATCGCTAATTCTACATAGACCGATCGACCTAAACCCATGGACATTCCTGCTGGCCAGACCCCTCGACAATTTGCCCAGACCAGAACAACAATTGCTAAACAAGATAGCATTAGCAGCTAGAAAAGCCCTAGCCCAAACATGGTTGCAGCCTACCCCTCCCCTAATGACCACAGTACTCAACAAGATCAAAGAGTGTCACCTCATGGACAAACTGACGGCCCAAATACGAGGCTCTATGAAAGCATTCACTAAGGTGTGGGAACTGTGGGACAACTACACAGACGATTAGTAAACCACTAGAAACGTCCAAGACTACTTGTACAAATCAGTCTATTCATTTATTGATGATGCTAAGGAATGTATTAATTGATATTAAGGCTGGAACACTTGATAATGATGCTGTGTTGTGCAATTACCTGAGCTATGTAATTCATTTAATCCAATTTATTTTATTTTACTCTATTTTTATTTTATGTATATCATCTGTGTACAGTCTCAGATTTGCTACATCCAAAATTTATAACTTAATTGTAACCAAATTATAGTTGTCATTAAATGCTACATATCAGTGTAATACGTTTTAAAGTTAGGAGTGTAACAATATTATGACCAGTTCATTATTTTATGCACGTTTTCTATTATATGCTCGTTTTTTTATTCAATCTAAGCTGGTTGATGTTAATCAAGGATTCTGTATTTAAATGTCTAGTAATAAGAGACAGTATATGTATCTGATGAAGTAGGGCAACCCTACGAAACGCTTAAGGCGATCTATCTGTTTGCATCTGGGAGGAGTGATTCAAGTCTTCACTACTGCAGCCTGTCACGTTCCAGACCCGTTATTTGCACTATCTGCACTTTTCCCCGCGAGTTCCCAGCCCACAGCTCGATGTGAGGTCGGAGGTGGAGCAGCAAGGAACACACAAGCCATCCTCACCGGCTACAAAGGACAAGAAAGCTTCAAACAATCCACAACCATCCGGGTCTGGATTACAGGTTTTTTACTTTTTTACAATCAAGACTTTACAGTACACCAACCTACCTCAGTATTGCACAGTTATTTTTAATAATTTCAATATTTTTTTGTGATCTTTTAAAACTTTTCGATTATCAATAAAACTGCTTATTATTCATCAATCCAGCTTCAATCAAATATTTTCCCAACAACTATTACCTAACATTACCTTATTGCATTAATTTAGAGCATTTAGTTTTATTTATACTAAACTTCCATATTTATTTTTGGGACTGCAGATATCTTTATACAAGAAAGTAGATTAATGACATAGATACCATTAACCCCATATTGTCATTACAAGTTGGGACTAGGTGATCTATGCAACATTCATTGAATATTTAATCTGGACATTATTTTGGGACATTTATTTCTATACCAGTCAATAGTAATTAACCTATTGGTCATTATTTTATAAGTGAACCATCTCATATGTTATGTCATAAGTTTACATTTATATGCTCTATAATTTATCTTTCAGTGTTTTTTATTACTTGTCAATTCAGTTGGTCCTATTAGGTCACATTTGAGTTTTCTGTTCTATAAGGTATTTTATTTTAATTTTATTTTTATCCTATTTTATCTTCATTTATTTAGAGTTGACTTTTTAGCTCCTGGAGACATTCACTTTTTTAGTGTCTATCTTTCTTCTATACTCTGTAGGATTTGGTGAAATCCTTTCTTTCCAGTTTTAGAGCTAAAGTGTATTCTGTTCTTATTCCCTCTTATTTTTCTGTTATCATATTTCTATATATTTGTATATATTTTTAATATTGCTAATACCAGATCATTGCATTTAACCCCTTCCCGACCGAGGACGGTTCAGGACCGTCATCTGCATTTTTGGCTTGCCGACCGATGACGGTCCTGAACCGTCCTAACGGTCTGAGCTACTTACCTGATCGCCGTCGTTCCCCCGGCGGCGATCAGCGTGGCTCCGGTTGTGGGGAGACTGCCTGCAGCCCAGACAGTCTCCCCACACTGGATTAGGACCCCTGTGACCATGTGATCGCTTAACACAGCGATCACATGGTCACAATAGGTGTCCATGTGTGTGCCTGCAGGGGGACTGTCTGTGCTGACAGGCAGTCTCCCTGCTAGTGTAAAATCATTTAAAAAAATAAAGGTTAATGTTAATAAAAAAAAAAAATTATATATGTGTATACATATATGATATATAGACATATATTATATCAATATAATATGTCTATATATCATATATATATAATGCCATACTAAGTGTATTTTTATATTAATATGTACTTATATTAATATAAAAATACACTTATAATTAAATTACACACGTATATATATAATATATATAATAACTATATATATTGTATATATATTATTATAAAATATAAATAATAAGTAATTTAAATTAAATAAATTTTTTTAAAAAATAATAAAAATTTTAAAAAAAATTATATATCTATATGAAATTTTATTCTAACTGTATTGTACACCGCCGCGTCATATGACGTGGTCTTAGATTGATGAATGAAGGGGCGTCATAATGAGGTTTAGACGATGTCCACATGAGTTGATTCTCTAATTTGCTGATTAAGACATTACAGTAAAGGCTCGCAATCCAAAAAAAAAAAGGTTGATGACATAAAGTCCAGGTGATAAGCATTTGGGAACAAAAGAAGTTTTGCAAAATAAAAAGATCATAATAGTGTGTTCATTAATAATGTAATATATTTAATCCATCGGGGGACTAATGAAAATTTCCCTATAAATAGTTTATATCCAATATAGAGAGAGAAAATAGAGAAAACAGAGACAGAGGAAAATATGTCGAGAGATATGGCAAATTAGAGAAAAGCGGTAAAGGAAAAACCCTCATTTAGGCCAGCAGGGGAGAGGGTCTTGAGCCTGTAGATCCAATAGGATTCACGTTGTCTCAGTTTCTTATCCCAATCGCCCTTACGTTGAGTTTGTGGGATATGTTCTATTCCCATGAACTTTAGTTTGTTGGCAGAATTCAAATGGTGAATTCTCAAATGACGTGAGATTGGGGTTTCTAAGGGTCTTCTAACCGAATTTACATGTTCCCTAATCCTTAGTTTGAAAGGTCTAAACGTTTTCCCCACATATTTAACGCCACATGAACAGGTAAGTAAGTAAATGACGCCTTCCGTCCTACAATTGATAAACGAGTGGACTGAAAAGGTTTCATTATTACTGCTGTCCGTAAATTCCTTAGATTTTTGATCAATAAATTCACATGCGCTGCAGTGTCCGCACCTATACGTCCCCTTGGGCAAATAGTTTTGAGACCCTCTTTTAGGGGGGGATAGATGGCTCTGCACCAATGTATCCCGTAGGTTTTTGCCCCTCCGTGCTGTCACAGAGGGAAACATGGTGACTACCTGTTTGATTTGTGGATCAGATGTTAGGATTGGCCAAAATCGCTTCAGTGTACCCATCATAAAGTCCCAACCTGCATCATACGTGGCAATACATCGGATTAGTTTTTGATCTTGTGCTTGCACCTTAACATCTGTTAAGAGTGACTCACGTTCGGTGCTTATTGCTCTAGTGTACGCTCTGCGTAACACTCTATTGGGATAGCCCTTATCCTTGAAGGCTCGCCTGAGATCCCATGCCTTGACTTTGAAGTCATCTATGGAAGAACAGTTACGCCGCAATCTTAGGTATTGCCCAATTGGTATACCTGCCTTTAGGGGTTGGGGGTGATGACTATGCCAATTTAGCAGACTATTGGTGGCAGTATGTTTTTTATAAAGGGTGGTTGAGGCCCTTCCTCCGGAAATGGTTATAGTAATATCCAAAAAATTAAGTTGTTTGCCGCCTATCTCGCTAGTGAATCTTAGATTCAGATCATTCACATTAAGGAGGCTTACAAAGGTCTCAAAATCTTTTTTGCTCCCTGTCCATATGACCAGAACGTCATCTATATAGCGTTTCCAACAGAATATCATCTCCATGAAGTGGCTCAAATGTGGGGCTGATCTAATGAGATTTTCCCAGGTCCCCAAATAGAGATTAGCATATGAGGGGGCACAGGAAGTCCCCATAGCTGTCCCCCTAATTTGCTGATAGATGGTACCATTAAAGATAAAGATATTTCTTGTAAGGACCATTTTAAGTATGTTGGAAACCAAATCTGTGTATGCGACTGGAGTGTGCAATTCATGTTCAAGGATAGTTCTAATATTATCAATTCCTTGAATATGTGGTATGGAACTATACAGCGACTCCACATCCAGACTGCATAGAAATTAGAACATTATGTCCCTCGATTCAGTTCAGTATCACGTCCTACGACGTGACTGACAAGTGTCAGATCCAATCGACAGATGGATAGGAGGGATATGCATTGGACCAATTGCTAACCGATATGTGCGCATGCGCATTGGGCGCTTGTAAACTACATATCGTTATCACTATGTAAACCCTCCTTTAGTTTTGTATCCTAATAAAGTCTCCAAACTATATTGTAACGAATAATATATATAAAAAATCCTGTGGATGAATCAACTCATGTGGACATCGTCTAAACCTCATTATGACGCCCCTTCATTCATTCTAAGACCACGTCATATGACGCGGCGGACAAGAGGCGGGCCTAAGAGGTAGCGGACCAATAAGCTAACAGTATTGTCGGCAACACACGTGGTACACAACAGCTGCTTTTCATCTTATAGATTGTAACAAGGTGTATTTAAATCGCTACAGGGAACTCCAAAAGTTTATTGCTCCTGACGACGGCGTGTTGAAACGCTGAAACGCGCGTCGAGCTTCTTTTTATTTTATTTTCTTTGTTTTGCACTTTTTTGGTAGCACTGATGGATTGATTTAATTTAATTTATTTTATCAGTTATTACTTACTTTTGACAGGCAGGGACTGAGTTTCTTTGGTAGGCACTGGTGATTCATCACAGTGCCGAGGTAACTAGGGCAAGTGGACCTTTATAGGAGTTTTTTGCATATTTACTCCTTGGGATACCTCCCTTTACATTTGCTCCCTTTCCCTATTTCTTTAGTTACCCCCCCTTTTTCAATTAGGGTCCCTGTTCTGGGAAGATTTAGAGGGCGTGCCTTTTAGGATCCTAGACATTTAGCAGGCAGTTTTTTAGTAACTGGTTCCTGTGTCTAGCCTGCAGGACTCTCTTTTGCTATATTTCTTCCCACCTGTCTTGTTGTGTGTATCTTTAGAATTATTAAAAGGTAGGGACCCCCTTTTCCCCTCTTCATTTTACTCTCCTGTTTAGGACTCTCGTGGTCCTCCTTTCCGTTTTATATATATTGTATATATATATTATTATAAAATATAAATAATAAGTAATTTAAATTAAATAATTTTTTTTAAATAATAATAAAAATTAAAAAAAAAATTATATATCTATATGAAATTTTATTCTAACTGTATTTTAAAATTAATATATATATTTATATCAAAATACACTTAGAATGAATTTGTATATATATCTATGTATATAAAAATAAATAAAAATAATAAGAAATATACATACGTCCATATACAAAATTACATAAATAATTATATAAATATACACGTAGACTTAAACTATATAAATATGCATATATATTTAAATTCTACGTGTGTATTTATGTAATATTTTTACATAATTCAGTAATTTTATTGATTGCAATTTGAGGGACCTGCCTGCCAACCCAGGCCGAAATTCCAGAGAATTTAATTTGTTAGCACTGTATTTTACCCTGTAACGTTCTACGACACCCTAAAACCTGTACATGGGGGGTACTGTTTTACTCGGGAGACTTCGCTGAACACAAATATTAGTGATTCAAAACAGTAAAACATATCACAGCGATGATATTGTCAGTGAAAGCTACTTTTTTTGCATTTTTCACACACAAACAGCACTTTTACTGATGATATAATTGTTGTGATACGTTTTCCAGTTTTTAAACACTAATATTTGTGTTCAGCGATGTCTCCCAAGTAAAACAGTACCCCCCATGTACAGGTTTTATAGCATTTTTGAAAGTTACAACGTCAAATATATGGGTCAAATATTTCTACATTGAAAATGGCCAGGTTGGTTATGTTGCCTTTGAGAGCGTATGGTAGCCCAGGAATGAGAATTACCCCCATGATGGCATACCATTTGCAAAAGAAGACAACCCAAGGTATTGCAAATGGGGTATGTCCAGTCTTTTTTAGTAACCACTTGGTCACAAACACTGGCCAAAATTAGCGTTCAATTTAGTTTTTTTACTTTTTCACACACAAACAAATATGAATGCTTACTTTGGCCAGTGTTTTCGACTAAGTGGCTACTAAAAAAGACTGGACATACCCCATATTGAATACCCTGGGTTGTCTACTTTAAAAAAAATATGTACATGTTGGGTGTTATTCAGAGATTTATGACAGATAATAGTGTTACAATGTCACTATTGATAAATTTTTAAAATGTATGTTTTGAAACCGCAATATCCTACTTGTACCTATAGCCCTATAACATGCAAAAAAAAGCAAAAAAGCACGTAAACACTGGGTATTTTTAAACTCAGGACAAAATTTTGAATCTATTTAGCAGTTTTTTTCATTCGCTTTTGTAGATGAGTAAAAGATTTTTCAAGTAAAAGTCAAAAAACATGTATTTTTTTCAATTTTTCATCATATTTTTTTATTTTTTTTAAATTAAAATACATGAGATTATATAAATAATGGTATGTAAAGAAAGCCCCTTTTGTCCTGAAAAAAACCAATATATAATTTGTATGGGAACAGTAAATGAGAAAGCGGAAAATTACAGCCAAACACAAACACCACAAAAGTGTAAAAATATGCCTGGTCGCAAATGTACAACATCGCAAAAACAGTCCAGTCCTTAAGGGGTTAATATTTTTGGGATGTTGTTGATTTACTTCTATGCTTTGAGTCATTGTCCTGTTGCAACACCCATCTTCTGTTGAACTTCACCTGCTAGACAGATGGCCTTAAGTTCTCCTGCAAAATGTCTTGATAAACTTGGGAATTCATTTTTCCTTCGATGATTGCAATCCGTCCTGGCCCTGACGCAGCAAAGCAGCCCCAAACCATGATGCCCCCACCACCATAATTCACAGTTGGGATGAGGTTTGAAGTTGGTGTGCTGTGCCTTTTTTTCGCCACATGTGTGTTTCCTCCAAATAACTAAACTTTGGTTTCATCTGTCCACAGAATATTTTGCTAGTACTGCTGTGGAACATCCACGTGCTCTTGTGCAAACTGTAAACGTGCAGCAATGTTTTGTTTGGACAGCAGTGGCTTCCTCTGTGGTATCCTCCCATGAAATCCATTCTTGTTTAGTGTTTTACGTATTGTAGATTCGCTAACAGGATGTTAGCATTTGCCAGTGACTTTTGTAAGTCTTTAGCTGACACTCTAGGATTCTTCTTCACCTCATTGAGCAGTCTGCGCTGTGCTCTTGCAGTCATCTTTACAGGACGGCCACTCCTAGGGAGAGTAGCAGCAGTGCTGAACTTTCTCCATTTATAGACAATTTGTCTTACCGTGGACTGATGAACAGCAAGGCTTTTGGAGATACTTTTATAACCCTTTCCAGCTTTATGCAAGTCAACAATTCTTAATCGTAGATCTTCTGAGAGCTCTTTTGTGCGAGGCATCATTCACATCAGGCAATGCTTCTTGTGAAAAGCAAACCCAGAACTGGTGTGTGTTTTTTATAGGGCAAGGCAGCTGTAACCAACACCTCCAATCTCATCTCATTGATTGGACTCCAGTTGGCTGACATCTCACTCCAATTGGCTCTTGGAGATGTCATTAGTCTAGGAGTTCACATACTTTTTCCACCTGCACTGTGAATGTTTACATGGTGTGTTCAATAAAAACATCGCAACATTTCATTCTTTGTGTGTTATTAGTTTAAGCAGACTGTGATTGTCTATTGTTGTGACTTAGATGATGAACAGATCCCATTTTATGACCAATTTGTGCAAAAAACCATATCATTCCAAAGGGTTCACATACTTTTTCTTGCAACTGTATATTTACTTTTTTTTTACAGTTTTTGTAATAATAATGTGTGCATAATTAGAGCAGGTTAAGGAAAGTAATTAAAATAAATTAATTTAGTTGTTTTGATTTACAGAATATATAATGTGTTGGGGATTTTAAGTTTTTTTTGGTAGTTACAGGTCACAAAACACAAGGAGTAAAATAAGCTTTTAATGTGGAGCGATTTTATTATTTGGAATAGACAAAGAAATATTGGATGAATAATCCAATATATATTCAGGAGTAGTATATACCTTTAAATTTTAAACTGGTGTGTAGAAATGCTGAAATGACATAATATGACTTAGAATAGCATATGAATAGAGAGACTATATAAAAAAAAAATTACATATACATAAGAAAATGATTCTATATAAGAGAAACTACTATTGTTCTCTTATATAGAATCATTTTCTTATGTATATGTAACTTTTTCAATGAGTTATGAAATCTCCTTTTCCAATAATATGTGTATAAAAGTGCTTATATGAATTGTAATTGTGAATCACAATTGTGAAATACACTATGAGATAGAGCAAGTATGGACTTTAGCCTGAAAGGGTTAACAAAAGCCAAAGCAACCACTGGCTATTTAAACCCGTGGGTCTCTCCTGCTCAACATCCTCTGATGAAGTAAGCAGCAGACTCACGAAACGCGTAAGGACATTATTTTACTTTCTGGCACTTACCGTAAAGACGAACAGGCTGTATTTGGAATGCAGGAAGATCGGTGACACGTACGCGGCTCCCAGCATCATCTGCCGGCAGGACCAGCACCTAACAGCTGCTAACACCATACTTTCCCGATTCCAGCTCAGCACATCTAGTTCTTTGCTTAATTGTAAGTGCAATCTCTGTTTTATTCTGTGGACAATAAATTTATTTTTAACACAGAAAGCACTTTTGAATCTTTGCACCAGTCTCTGCAAGACCAGAGGGATTTTTTTTTCCTATTATACTGCAGGTCACTAATTATGACCTGTTAGTGATTATTATTTATTTTTCTATAAGTACATAAGTATATTGCAAACCACCATTGCTGCATATGCAATTAAATATATTATTGTACTACACTAATTCAGCTAATTCAGCTAATTCAGCATCCACTATTCCAGTTTGCTTATAACTGGCAAAAGCTGAAATAGCTAACATTATTCACGGACTATTATGAACTTTCATCCCAAGTGATACAATTGTATCAATATAGGGACATTCTTTTTACTATTGGATTTATTACAACATAAGCATACTTATATCATTTGTTTTATATATTCTCTCTATTCATATGCTATTCTAAGTCATATTATGTCATTTCAGCATTTCTACACACCAGTTTAAAATTTAAAGGTATATACTACTCCTGAATATATATTGGATTATTCATCCAATATTTCTTTGTCTATTGCACTTATAGGGATTTTTTAGTGGCGTCCCTCTTTTCAGTTGAGAGTTAAACCTTTAGCTGTGTTTTATACTCTATCCTAAGGTACACTATTTGGACCTTTATATATTTTTTTCTGTTAGAATTTGGAATGTTTGTCTTGTAAGCTTAATAGCCATAAAAGAAAACAAAATTGCCACACAAAAGTATATATTTATATAAAGTAGACATCACAGGCTATTTATCTAAGGTTAGTTTGACACTTTTTACTTAGCCATTTCACCACCAATCTCTGCTAAATATTGGAGTAAAACTGTGTTTTGGGGTTTTTTTTTGGACACAAACTTATAACAAAGATCTTCTCATGTGTATTTCGTAAAGTTGGTGTGTGCTTTTCCTGTACAAAACTTTATTTTGTGTTCAGCTACATCTGCTGAGTACAATTATACCCCCTTTGTATGTCTTTGGCACTATTTCGTAAAGCTACAGTGCCATATAGGAGACCTGTCCATTTCAGTATTTACAGAAGAGTTTAGAGAGACAAATTTGATGGGCATATGTTTCAATTTGGGATATAATAGCAGTTTGACTGGTCAAAAAAGAAAAATCCACAAAGGCCTACCATTAGTAGAAGTAGCCACTCCAGGGTATCTCATATGGTGGATATTGTGCCTTAACATGCCCCCATTTTTTCATCAATATATGTAAAAGTATGTGGTAAATTATTTTGGACATTTTTTACATACGTTTTACATTTTTGCTGGGCATTTTGTATATTTGATATGTGCCACTAAGATCAAAGCCCCAAAATTATGCTCCGCTAAGTCTTCTGAGTAAAATAATTCCCCCAATGAATGTCTTTGGCACTATTTTGTAAAGCTACA